GGACTGCCCACTGAACACTTTCAAACTGGCTTCCCTGCATCTAATCTCTTTCTTCTTCACCCCACTGCCAGAACTCTCTTCTTAAAGCTCTGATTAATGTTATTAATTGCTAAAAAAAAAAAAAGTACACGTTTCCCCCTATTTCCTATGAAATAGCCTATACTCCTCAGAACAGCACTCAAGGCTTTCCACAGTTTGGCCCTGAGTCCCCCACTGCCTCTTGTTTTAATTACACCCAGGATTTAACTGACAGAGGTGACTGAGTGATCACACTGAGTGGTCGGTGCCATTGACAGAACTGCTCACATTTCCCAAGAGAAGGGAGCACATCACACCACACAGGTCCTCATGGGAAAGTACCAGGGTCAGTCACCGCAGTAAGGCAAGAACATGGTCCAGATCCTTCCCTGTGGTTTCTGTGGGAAGGAACAGGCAAGACAGTGGGAAAGTGTGGGTAAAATTGTAACATTTCCAGAATATCTCGCCTGGCTTTAGTATATATGTATATTAATAGGCGTTCAGAGGTGGAAAGAAGTATGGCTGTAGTACATTTGCATCTTTCCTCAGTGGTGGAGAAGTTCATCTCCATATCAGTGGGCAACAGAGGGCTTATCTGTACCTGAGAGGTGAGTGGGAGCACCAGTGTGCTTGCTGCTGGAGCAGTGAAGAAAGAGGGCCTGGGACTGCAGTTTGTGGGCAATAAACTAGTTTTAAGCTTTATTTCTCCCTTTGACTGATTTTGGTTTTTAGAGGTATTTTGCCCCGGGATTTCCTTTCCCCGCACTTACAGAAAGTTTGAACAAGTGTAGAACTGGATAGTTTGAATGACGTTGGTGGGCTCTGGGCTTTAAGGATGGTCTCTTATTGTTGAGTATTTGGCCCTGGGTGATTTAGGCCGGGGAAGTACTGGCTTGATATGTGAGTTAGATAAAGGAAGTGGTTGGGGATATGGGTTTTGTGGGTTGATCTGGGTATGGTATATTTGCAGGCAGGTTGTTTGTTACTTTAGGAGTTAGCCCACCCAGGGAGGGACAGTTCCTCCACAGAGGCCTTAAGGCTCCAAGATCTCAAAGCATCATTAAATACAGAAAATAAGAAACATGACTAATGCACATCTCCCTTCCCAAGAACCCTTTGCTCATAGCTCTAGTAGCCCCAGAAAATGCCTTTCTATATCAGTTCTGCAGTGCATCTCTCAACACTGCCACCACCAGAGCCCTGAGAGAAGAAGTACCCCAAGTGTGGTACTGTGTAACCATAATGCCTCCCCTGCGCCCACCCATCCCACTGGACCAGTGATGGTACCTGACATAGGCATCCAATCAGTAGGGTGGGTGGCAACCTCTGACCCGTGGCCTGTTTTAAAAAGATAAACTGGGCCAAACAGATTTCCTCTTTTAAGGATTTAAATTAAAAGCCACAAAAGAAGATTGC